CCCCCCCCCCACCAGGCTAGTTACTTTTTTTTATTATGAGCAAAAAAAAAAAACAATCCCCTAAATTACCCTTGGTAATTTATCATAAACTAAGCTTCACCGGAAAAGAGGTGAATCGAACACCCAAGTGTTAAAACACAATATTTAGCAAATATCTCGCCCTACCTATAGCAACTTTTCCCAATATACCATCGCATAGTACTAACAAAGAAATTAGGGAATATATACTTTTAAATAAAAAAAAGATGTAAAAAATTAACTAGCGACCTTGTAATAGCCCTGAAGACTAAGAGTACATAAGAAAATTATTACCTAACCATCGAATTAGGTCGGATTCGAACCGACATCTACTTCCGTGACAAGGAAGTCCTTTACCAATTAAGTTACTAATTCTTAATCCCGTAATCTAAAGAGATTATATAGACGCGAGGCTCATTATGAGATTAGGCGATGTTAAATCCTTTCCCTACCCCCCCCCCCCTCTGGTGCGGGACTGCGATGGGTGGAACTAAATAGACATCATCATGTTTGGATTTAATTAGGGAGAGAAGTTGTAAGAACTATAGGTAATTATTATGATTACCCCATAATAATTTACCAAAAATCACCCCTTAAATGATATGTCCTTACCATACACACTTTAAATAATTAAGTTTGCTTTCCCTTCCCCTTATCCCCCCCCCCCCACAGGGGGGGGGGGATTTTAGGGAAATGAAGACGGTTTTGATCAATAAAAGGCGTTTGGTATTTTGTTGAAGATAGTTATTGCTTATTTTATTTGCTTCAATAATATTTGTCCATTGCCCTTTTCTTTAGTTTTGATTTATTACCAGTAAGCATAAACTTATATTCTTGTATTATAGAACCACGAAATAAATAGGTATTGCCGGATTCGAACCGACATCTTAATGATTAAAAGTCATATGTATTAACCATTATACTAAACACCCTTTTAATAATTTACGATAACTAAATTATTATTATACAAAATTTTAAGTATTTATTATACAGTTTATTACCCACTATTTATAATAAGCAAAAGAATTTTTCTATTTAAACTCCTTCTTTTTTGTCTTTTAGATTTTGTATACTTTTTTTTATTAAGACCAATAAAGTAATCTACATCTTAGAATAATAATTAAATTTATTACTAATTTATATAGCAATCTATTTTTCTATATAGATAGACACCTATCTATAAGAAGATGGAGGCACTCGGGATCGAACCGAGGACTTCGACATGCAAAATTGAAATTTTACCAACTAAAATATGCCCCCTTATTAGATCAATAGTTAAATATAGCATGATGAGAAGAAATTTATACAAATATGCTTTAGCTAGTTCCAGGATAAAAAAAGCTTCTTTCTTGTTTTTGATAACGAATTTATCGGTAACCAATAAACAAGACCCTGGCCCGCACAAAAAAATAAAACATATTGAACTTCAAGAGCACTCAGATTCGAACTGAGAACCGGAAGGTTGAAGCTTCTTATTTTACCATTAAACTATACTCTTGTAAGGAGGACGGGAACATAGTAAATTACTATGCACCCTAACTATATAATAGTTATTTATTATAACTTACGACTCACTTTATAAGAAAAACGAAAAAAAAAATATTTTCAATAAAAACCAAAAATAACTTAATTTACCGTAAGCATATAACAAATAAATTTTATATTAATCACCTCCGTCTAAATCACTTAAAGGAGTTGGTTCAGACCCATCATCGACAACTTCACTAGAATCTTGTTTAAATCTTTTAGCTTCAGGTGAAGCAATTAATTCACTATGTTCTTTTTTAGCAAGACTAGCTTCTCCTTTAAGATATTCCATAAGTTGCTCTAAACCTTCCTTAGTAGTGTTTTCACTATCTTCGTCGAAAAATGTAGGATAGTCTTTTTTTAGATTCCTTGCTTCAGCATTAAACTCTTTTTGACTGTCTGGCAATTTTTTATCTAAATACAGAGCTTTATCTATATTATCTAAATCTTGCACATAATCTATTAATTCTTTTTCCAGTTTAGCCTTTTTATCTTTATTATCGGAATTGTCAGCCTCTTCTTTTTCAACTGAACGTTCACGTTTTTTTCCTGAAACGTAAACAATATAATCTGAAATTATCAACCCATCACTTACGAGTCATAAAAAGAAAGATACAAAAAAAGTCATAAAAGATCATTGTTTAAATATTACTACTATGAACCTCAGTAGTAAATAGATACATACAAAAAAAGTCAAACAACATCCACAAAATGTCAGTAAAGAATACCGCCCTCAAATCCAAGGTGGTGATTGTCAGTTAGATGGTATGCAAATATTCTTCACAAAGCTACTGATAAAAAAAGAGTTCCTATTATAACGTGCACAAAATATTAACAATAATTCACATTATTGATTAGACTATGTCATCATATTAGTGCTTATTAAAATAATTAAAAAGATATTTTAATAATTAATATGAAAAGTTTAATGCCATTCTTCACTTTAATTCTCTAATAAGATAATTTAAAGTGCTTTATATTTATTAGCTAGTCGTTGAACCTTTATATATGTCATAAACGATATATACTTGGCAGCAAATTATCATTAAGCGAATAACTTCACATATAATGAATTTTTTGCTATTAACTTTTTTATTAATAAATATTATATAATATTAATTTTTAATTGAAAACAAAAGTATACCCTTTATGAGACTTACCTGTATTTAAACATTCTTTTATAGTACCTCTAGAAATACTAAGACTTTTAGCACATTCAGTCATACTACTATAAATGTTTTTTTGATTATTACTATCTATAACAACAATATTAGTAGATTCACTTACTAATTTATTAGTATTTCTAAGAAATCGTACTCCAGATTTACTTATCTCATAAGGACTATCCGATAAATAAAGTGCGGACAATAAATTTTCCACTTCCGAAAGAGAAATGACTTTTTTATCTTTAAGCAAATTCACATTGGTTGTTAATCTATATTTGTTCATATGTAATTTGATTGCATCAAATACATATTTACCTTCCAATGTAGTATGATAACCTTTATAATAAATATCTACCAATTTCAACCATAATAAAAAATCTTTAGATTTTAAAGTTTTCAATAAAATATCTTTGTTGTCATCAAACATAAGGGATCCAAAAATATCCCTAAGATCGTTAACTTTATTAATTTCTAAAACAATCATAGGATTACTGTTAACTCTATACTCCCGGGCAGTTTGTAATAAAATATTTCCTGTTTTAAAAAATTCTCTTATTTTATTGTATAATTCAAGTTCTTTAACATGATTTTCCAATTTAAATCTAGGCACATATTTATTAGTTGAAAAGGTAGCCTCTGCATCTATAAAACCGGCTAATCAATACTTAGTTATATTAATTTTTTCTTTAAGAGAGCCTGGTATTCATTTACCTGAGAACTTTAGCATTTCTTTTTTATAACCTATTATAGCCGATTTACCTTCAGCGGATAAATGACTTTTATTTTTAGTTAATAACACTGCTTTTTTAAATAATACAAAATGGTGATATTTTGAACTATTAAGATTTACATAATCAAAGATAGGTATTATAACATGTAATAATGAATTTAGATCATTTACAAAATAATTCACTTTATCTTTAGATTTAGAAATATGCCCACATTTGAGAGTATTCTTAATGTATTCTAATACCTCTATTTCATCTTTATGAAGACCTATTTGAAATGTAAATTGAGCAAATTTATATGTGGTATTTTCCAAGGCTGTTAATCTAATATGGAAATTTCCCTCACCGTCTGTAAATCCAGCTAATCATTCTATAAATCTCCTATCTAAATAATAAGAATTAACTTCAGATGTAGACGTAGGCATAATAATCTTTAATTTGTCATTTATATTAATGTTACTAACTAAATAGCTATAAAATTTAGAATTTGTTTTTTTAATATTATATAAAAATTTATTAGGGCTGCTACTCAACCCAAAGCACTAATATGAAGACATAATCTAAGTTAATTTAATTTAATATGTTATCATAAGGATTTATTTCCTTATTTCAGTAATTCACATTACTGTTCAGACTATATCATATGTATTATATGTAATATATAATACAGCAAAATTTAAAAAAGATAATTCTTTTATTAGTCGTTGAACTTTACAATACTAAATATTTTTGATAATAATTTAGTAATTGTTTAGCTGCATATTATCTTCCCACACTACGTAGTGGAAGACCTTCATGCAATTAACTTTGTTTTCTGTTTAAGTAATGACAAAATATTTATTCAATTTACGTCTAAATTTAAACAGGGCCTGCACTATAACATACTTTTTTATCCCTTCAGTTTTTTTTTTGATTATTTTTAGTTTAAAAATTAAAAAAAAGGTAAGGGGCCTTTTAAAATCAAAGATTTTAATTTGGGTAAGCAATAAATAACTATTTTAATAATCTACCTGTATTCATACCAGATTTTAAAGATTTTATCTTCTTTAAACCTTCAAGAGTTAAATGAGATTTATCTTTAATAATATTAGCTATCTCACAAAAGTCTTTATGATCCATAGACTTTATTCCTTGTAAAGGAAATTTTTGGAAAAAAGGTATTATCTTATCCAGTATATCGCTAAATTTATATACAACAAAGGTAACAGAATCTCTCGTTGAAACTTTCTCCATAGTACCACATCCTAGGTAATCAATAAATTTACTTAGTAAAATTTCATCTCTTACATGTTGAGACACAGATAAAGAGATAATAACCTGAAAACCAGTCAAATAAGTCTTATTTTTCTTTGTATTAACATAAAAACAACCCTCTCCATCTACAAAACCCGTCATTCAATAAGGATCGGGTATTCCTTGGAAACAGACTAAAGGACGGGGTACAGGTAATATAGTTGGAAATTGAATTTTTAACGTTTCGGATAAACCTGTATTCATTGATGCTTTCAAACTTAAAATCTCACGAATTCCCTCAATACTAGATTTAGCTTTTAAATTTAAAAGTTCTATACCTTGTTTAAATAAAATATAATCAGCCTTCTTCTGAGTAATTAAAGGATATTTGTCAAAATGAGGTATAATCACATTAATCATATCTCGGTAAGACTGAACGCTATATACTACAATATTTCTATCTTTACGCAGGTTAACATTACCTACTCCAAAAAAAGAGTGTATTTTTCTTATTAACAGTGTATCTCTGCTATGCAACTCTATATTAAATTCTGGTATGACATTTCATCCGGATTTTGAGGAACTTTTTTTAGATACTTTAAGACTAAAGCTTGATTCTGCATCAGCAAACCCGGTAACTCAATAAGGAGAAAGCTCCGATTGCAGATTTGTACTTCCCATATCAGAAACCATAACAGTCCCCCTGCCGGCATCAACTATCTTGAGGGAAGAGTAGAATCTTTTATGTACGTTGAATTTTTTATAGTTATTTATATTATTAGCTGAACCTCTTCCGTTAAAAAAAAGTATGTTAGAACCGTAGCCGTGGAATCCTGTACCGAAAAAAAAACATGCACCAAAAGCACCATCACTTATTGTAAAAGATGATACACTGTATTCAATTCCTTGGAATATTGTAAAAACTACAGCTAATAACACTGTTGCCACTGAACCGTATAATGAACCTTTTCTCTCTCCTTCTATTAAAGAGTGGTGAGCTCATGTCACTGTAGCCCCACTAGACAGTAAAATTACTGTATTTAGTAAAGGTAGTTCAAAAGGGTTTACTGGTTCTATACCTATAGGTGGTCATTGAGCTCCTAACTCAACTGTAGGTGTTAGCGCACTATGAAAGAACGCTCAAAATATAGCTACGAAGAATAAAGCCTCCGATACTATAAAAAGGATGACACCTAAGTTTAGTCCTTTCTGAACTGCCAGAGTATGATCACCTAAAAAAGTAGCCTCTGATATAATATCTCTAAATCAAAATGACATAACTGAAACTAATAATAGGAAAGATATGTAATTGATATAGTAACTATTGCTAAAATTATGCATAGATAATGCAGCACTAGTTGTTAAATTTAATAAACAAATACTTGTGTATAAAGGTCATGGAGAAGGACTTACTAGATGGAAAGGGTGATCTTGAAAATTACTTCTTATTAAATTTGTCATTTATTAATAGAATTAAAGTACAGTTAGTTTGATTTATAGATACCTTGGCATTTTGATAACCAAGCAAGCAGAAATGAAATGGAAGTTAAAGCGATAATCGTTTGTTTGCTCAGTTTTACGACTAAACTATCATTAGCCCTTAAGA